CTTTTGTTGTTCTCATTAATGTTGTTGATGTTATTACAGTTATCGTTTCTACTGTTATTACTACTACTCTAATACTACTATGATCATAATTGACATTACTTTCAATAGTATCCTCATCGACATTATTGCCATCATCATTGCATTTTAATTACAATCATATCATTATCATTGTTAATGTTATCATTATCATTGTTAATGTTATTATTATCATTGTTAATGTTATCATTATCATTGTTAATGTTATCATTATCATTGTTAATGTTATCATTATCATTGTTAATGTTATCATTATCATTGTTAATGTTATCATTAGTTATTGTCATTATATTACTTGTTATTATCACTACCGTCATTCCTTCTTTATTATATCGTCTTTTGGAACCTTTCACCTATTCCCTATTCTCATTATCCAGTTTAGCCTTGACTTTCCTTTCTCACGCCCACACCCAGAGCCGAGGGCGTGGTCCAGGCGCCCGCGAGTGACCTCCTGAAGGGGCTGAGGGCGGCCGAGGCGAGCATCCTCTTACCCGAAGGAAACATCAATGGTTAGTTCTCTCATCTCAGCCCTTGTTCAGCATCCGGTGTTTCTGGTTTGAGGTTTGATTTTGGTGGATAATTTCCCTCTGGACATCGCCTCTGTTCTTGGGGCTGTCTATATGGCAATGGATTGGTATCCGCCATGGACTGGTGTCAATCATCTCTTTAAGGAGCTTTTGTGTGTGGGTGTGAGTGCCCACAGGTATGGCTGGTGTGCTGGAAATCGCCGGGGAGAGCCGGGGCGGCTCACCCGTCGGCTAAGGCCTGGGTAGGCCTAGTTGCTGCTTGCTGTGTCTTGCTCGGCTGGAGGATCGTGAGTGATGAACTCGGCCCGGGTGTGGGATCTTAAGTGGGTCTGAGCTGTGTAAGCTACACGGGAACGAGGGGAGCCTGCGGTCCAATGGGCGAGCCGTGAGGTGTCCGGAGTCAACCAATCAGGTCTCGGTATGAGTCGTCGAGAAGCTGCTGATGGTGAGGGCGAGAGGACAGGCTGTGGACCTGGACCCAACCTGGGGGAAGTATGCAGAGCTGCAGGTTGCGGGGGTCGGCTACATCTACTTTTTCTCTTTTTTTTTATCTCTGCCATAAACATCATCCATTATAATTGACGTTGTTACCATTTCGTTATCATTGCTATTATTATTTTCGTTATTATTACTATTATTATTATTATTATTATTATTATTATTATTATTACTGTCATCATTATCATTATTGTTGTTATCATGATCATTGTCATCATATTCAATCATCATCAGTGTTATTAGCATTAGTATCATTATAATCACTGATTATTATATCCAAAATAACCATTTCAAACCATCACACACTGTTTCCCTGAACACATCACACTTATTTATTCTCACGCTTAATCACTCTTATCCATTTCTAATCACCTCTGCCCTGACACAGCTCTGGTCGGCTGGGGTCAGGCCGTGAAGGAGGCGGCGCGTGCGGAGGGCGTGAGTGACTTCGGAGAACTGGTCGAGATCTTGCGCCGCGACCCTGAAGTCCAAAACAGATACCGAAGCCGATTCGACTCAGCGGGTCGCGTATTCCATGTGCTGAATGACCTTTCGCACGTCAAAAACCACGGATTGGAGGTCAAGGAGGTCGAGGAAGGTGATAGGCCGAGGTATGAGTTCACGGTGAATGGCCACGCCCCTTCTGTCGTTTTGGCCACGCCTACGAGCGAGAGAGGGAGGTCGGTGCTGCTCGCTGTTTCGGATTACCTTGTCGGGACTCATGAGCCCGGGGTCGGATGCGTCGACTGCGTTACGTCAGATAGTGAGTTGCTTTTTTATTTATTACATTCTTATCGTTGTTTTTTTTTATAACTTTTTTCTTTTGGTGTTTTTTTATTGTATTCTTATTCATACCGACGGTGGCATTGACGATTTTTTTCGTTTATTTATTTGTTTATGATGATAATGGCGATTTTTTTTAGTTAATTATTTATATCATTATGAATGAATTATATAATTTTGATGAAATCCTGTTCTAAATTATTCTATTATGATGCCGAAGTCTTATTCACAATATTAATTGCCTTATAGAATTAATAATACAGCTGCTTTCCAATATTCTTAATAATATCTATGATTATGGCAGAAATTATAATTAACATTTAAATAGCAGATTCACATGGCAACGAAAAGAAACTAGATTAAACTATTGATTAATTCACTGTTTAAGGAATAAATGATTTAATTCACTGATCAGCTGTTTAATTGATTCAATGAAATTTAAATATTCTTGTTAATTTCATGTCGAAATTCGGATGGTCACTGATCATATATATGTTTTATTCACGCACACACACGTACACATACATCTATTCATCCACCTATCGACCCATCCGCTTATTCACTCATGCATCCACCCATCCATCCATCCATCCATATATATATACACATCCACACAAAACACCACACACACACACACACACACACACACACACACACACACACACACACACACACACACACACACACACACACACACCACACACACACATCTCCCCCCCCCTCCTCAATCACCCCACCCACCCCACCTACCCCCATCCCACCCCCCTCTCCACCCCCCAAAAAGACAGACATCATATCAATCACATCTAATTTATCTCCGCCGCCCACGCCCACAGATCCCGAACTCTACCTGAACGTGACTCGGGTGGCGCTCGTGGGCGTGTTCGTGACCCGCCCACAACCCTTTCTCGAAGACGCCCTCACTTCCCTCCTCGCCACTGGACTCCACCCGAACAAGACCGTCGTTTTGGTCTATAACACGGTTTGTGGGCGTCGTGGTGTTTGTGGGCGTGGTCTGTGAATGTGAATTTATTTATTTCTATTTATTCATTTTTATATGATTTTACTTTTTTTTATGTATTTTATTGATTTATTTTACTTTTATTTTTTATTTATTTTTATATGATTTATTTTACTTTTATTTTTTATTTATTTTTATTTTTTTATTTATTTATTATTTTTTTCTTGGGGGGGGGTGTTCTGGCTTGTTTGTTTGATTGTTTGCTTGTTTGTAAGGCTTCTTGTCTCTGTCACCTTCTGACTGGCTGTCACTCTCTGTTCATTCTCATTCTCTCTCTCTCTCTCCTCTCTCTTCTCTCTCTCTCTCTCTCTCTCTCTCTCTCTCTCTCTCTCTCTCTCTCTCTCTCTCTCTCTCTCTCTTCTCTCTCTCTCTCTCCTCTCTCTCTTCTCTCTCTCTCTCTCTCTCTCTCTCTCTCTCTCTCTCTCTCTCTCTCTCTCTCTCTCTCTCTCGTCTCTCGTCTCTCTCTCTCTCTCTCTGCCCGC